ATGAATGCATCTAATGCTATATTGTGATTCTAAATTTTTTATGGGGACAATATAGTCATGAAAAATGTGTATTTAATGTTGGCTCATTTTCCCAAATTTTCCAATGAGAAGGAAAACAAAACCCAAGAGGGGATGAGGGCTTCACTTTCCCCCTACTTTCCCATACGCAAGGCAACAATTTCTCATGCATAGACTAACAAAATATGGAAAAGCAATTGATTTCTCATTCTCAAGTCTCCTTTCCCATAAACCAAATAGGGCATACTGGCAAAAGGAAGAGGAGAAGTAAATGCGTTCAATATGTTTCAAGTAGAGGTGGGCATCGGGACCAGAAAATCGGAATACCAAATCGGACCGGTGAAAAAAAAGGGGAAAAAAATCGGTTGACCAAAAAAGTCAACAAACATGACCAAACCAGTTCCAATCAATTTCAGTACCGATTTTACACCGCACCAAACCGGATCGATTGTATTTTTTTTTATTACAAAATTTAAAAATCCAATGCTATATTTAAAATTTTATAATTAATAATTTTTCAAATTCAACTTCAAAAAATTTCTCATTGTATGAATTGGGTCATTTGTTAATTTTTAAGCCAAAAAAATAACTTTTTTATTATAATTTTTATTTTTAAAAAATATAAAAAAATTGAAAAAAAAAATTAAATTAATAATCCAGTTCAAAACCGAAATGGAACCAGTCAGAATCGAACTGGAACCGGTCAGAACCGAACTAGTCGGAATCGAACTGGAACCGGTCAAGACCGAATTGGACCGGTTAAGTAGTCCTGATTTTTATTCCAGTTTGAGATAAGAACCGGGCCGAACCGAACCGTGGCCACCCCTAGTTTCAAGTTGGGAGGAACAAAGGGTTTAGGTTGGGACACATAATATGGGAAGAATGTGAACTCAGTGTTCACTTACAAGAATAAAGGCATATGAATATCTTGCCCCAATGCCACCCCATATTGGGCCCGACCACATCTTTTGCTTCAGACTTCCAATTTTTTCCCTAAATACTCAATTGAAAAATTAAAATAGCCTATATGCTTTCTCCAACCCAAGACTCTAAATTCTTGATTTTTCAGCCCATCCAAATTCGGCTCCTCTATCGGATCGCTCAAATTAATGGAACCCATTAATATCTAGCCCAACACTTCACGTCTCTCGCCACCTTTGCTCCAATGGTCCCAAAAAGTGGGGGCATTTCTTTTTATACAAGCGATATTAGGGGATGGAGGTTTACTCGCACACATTGTCAAGGTATCATGAGATTCGAACTTGAGACCACTGATCTGCAAGTCAAGGCCCTTTTCACCATGCCCGTCAATTTTGTTGTTGTCATATCTAAGAGTACTAAAACTAGATCTAGGCAACATAACAAAAATGTGTCGATAGAGTCTCACTAAATCGACCTCGTGGGTGTCAACTATCCGGCAAGCGACACTAAATCGATGATATCTTTAACCAACAACAATCAATTCATTTAGAAATCAGTGTGAGTCGGCTCGGTTTCGGCAATAACATAGGAGGCGATGATGAGCTTATAAATCATGGCTCATGCTCTATCTTTTACACAGTGAGCGAGACTAAGCGTGCCTATAGTATCAGGTCGGGCTAAAGCCCGCCACAGTATCAAACCCCCCCCAGTTCATAGCCCATAAAAGGGTCAGGATTAAGCTAACGCATCTAACTTGGGCCATTTTTACGGGCTTGATTGTGGCCCTCGTTTCAGATCCTCTGAAGAATTGCTTGGCTTTTATCCTAAGCTAAATAAAAAAATCAACCAAAGGCTAAAAAATTAGGGACATTTTGGAAAAAGCAAAAGGAGAGAGAAAAATTTTAAAAGAAGCAAAAATGGACCAAAATGCCCTTATTTATTTTTAAATTTCCTAAGAAATCCAATACATTTGCATGTCTTTGATTTGAAAGTTGAGTGGTTTATTTGTCTTTTTTGAAAAAGCTTTGACTTTTTCCAAAAGTGAAATTTTTTTTATGTCTAAAACCTAAAAAACCTAAAAAATTAACATGTCATATTTAACACCCCTTAAAAATAAGAGTTGAATACGTCTGCTTCTTTGGCAAAGGGTCTTTCGCTCAATTCTCCTTCTAGGGTTTCAAAACTAGTTATTCTTTTGCCTATTCAAATCAAATTCTTCTTCTAAGTTCTCAAATCAACTTCTAGTTCTTCTTGTTCACTATAAAGGTTTCATTACAAACCCATAAATCCATTCTTAACAAAACAAAAATATTGGCACAATTGGAGAACAATTTCTTAACCATTTGAAAGAAAAACTGATGTCATATTGTTTTTTTACAAATTTATAAATAAACCCAATCCTAGACATGTATTTATAAAAAAACCCAAGCATTATTTAAACATAGAAACACACCCAAAATCAACCCCAAAGTCAACTTTTTGGGTGTGTTTATAAATGGGTTTTGAGTGTGTGTAATGATGGGTTTTGGGTGTGTTTATAAAGTGTTTTGGGTGTTGGATTTTTTTATAATTTCAACCTCCATTTTGGGTGTTTTAGTGAAACTCCCTTGTTTTTTTCCCTCCTTTCGAGAAGTATTGCCCTTTGTTCCTTAACATGAATTTACTCTGGAGGCTATCTAGTCATCTCCTCTACGCAACAAGCAACGTAACAACAAAGAAAATTGGCTGAAACTCACTTCTAGAAAATAAGAGGTAATTGGAAGGGGGGAGAGGAGTTAGGTTATTAAGCCTCAACGACTCCATACCTGTGAAATCGTCCAACCATCCTTAGAAAAGGAAGGGGAGATGCTTTTAGAGCCTCTGCTATGATTTTCTCCACCATTGGTCTTTGTATATAGCATTGGTCTTTTTTTTTTTTTTTGGGTCAAGTCTGAAACTTCATTCCAAGGCCGAAAAATCGGCAAAAGAGCTTATAATAAAGGAAAGAAAGCAAAACTGAAAGCCTTCCAACTGAATCCATACAACCCAACAAAGAAAAACTTTCAACCCAAAACAAAATTAAACTTAAGGAGGACATAGGAGTCCATCTGAGACCAGAACTTGCACCAGAGACAATGGTGGTCCAGCTCCATAGCTCTAACTCCAATCATGGCTGCTTCATGAGCCGCCTGATTTAAATCTCTATGCACCCAGCTCCATCGAACCTCACGCATAGACCCACAGATTCTGTGAAGCTCCTCAAGAAGGGGCATAATGGACCACACTTTGTTTCTAAAGTCACCATTTAGCCCATTGATAAGCAATTTTGAGTCAATTTCCACAATGACATCTCTAAATCCAAGGTTAGCTGACAAAGCAAGCCCTCTAATTGCTGAATGAGCTTCCGCAGCTAGTGCTGAATCACAGCAAATAGGACCAACTAAACCCCCAACAAATTGACCATCAGTATTTCTAATAACAACACCAACGCCACCTTTCAGAGCGTCACCAATCCATCCTCCATCCACATTTATTTTCACAAAATCACCTGAAGGTGCGTTCCAGGAAGCAGGATGGACATTCAAAATGTTGTTCACGGCCACTTCATCACTAGGAACCCTTCGGATTTCAGTAAACTCCATTTGAGCTCTTAGCGCATTCTCAATAACCTTGGCCGGGTCAATGGTGCTCCCTTCAATGACAGCCTTGCACCTGGTTTTCCAAATCTCCCAAAGGAAAAAACTTAAAAGGGTAAGCATATCCAATTTGTCTTGCTTAGACTCCGATCGAATACTCAAAATTTCATTAAACCACACATCAAAAGTTCTCAAACGTTGTTGATCAATTCGCAATGACAAAGGGGACCCAAACCATACTGCCTGAGTCCAGGGGCAGAGAAAAAGCAAGTGTTCTATCGTTTCTTCAAACTGATCACACAAAGAGCAGATAGGAGAGCCACAAATATTTTTTCGAAATAAATTCATTCTAGTTGGAACTGCATTCGAGACAATTCTCCACATGAACAACTGGATTTTTGGCAGAGTGCTAATCTGCCAGATTGCTTTCCAAACCTGGATGGGTATAATATGGGACGAATGCGAATTCCCCATAGCCAAAGCTCTATGTGTTGAATGAAGAACGTGATATCCTAATCTCACCGCATACAATCCATTAGAAGTCCATGGCCAAACAACTCTATCTTGGTGCCTTGAGGCCCCCACAGGTATTGAAAGGATTCGTCTTTTTGTTTCCCAACTTAGATAGCTTGCCACCGAGTCTAAGTTCCACGAACCACTCCTCACATCAATAATTTCTGAAACCAGTTGAGGGGCGTTGATAGGTATTGGAACAAGCGGAGTAATAATCCCTACCTCAGGGACCCAATTATCAGCCCAAATATTAGTACTCTCCCCATTCATTATTTGCCTTCTAGCATTGTTCATCACAGTATCTCTGCCTGCCAATAAGCTTCTCCATATCCATGAAGGTCGATGCCCCAAAGTAGCATCCTTAAAGTCACAATCTGGAAAATATCGCGCCTTTAAAAGTTTAACCCATAAAGCATGTGGGTTGTTGAGGATTCTCCAGCTTTGCTTAGCAAGTAAGGCTAAGTTGAAATCATATGAGTCTCTAAACCCCAAACCCCCTTCAGATTTAGCTAGGCTCATAGCTTTCCATGATTTCCAAAGAATTTTCGAGTCACTGTCAGGTTTTCCACCAAAATTTTGCTAAATCACTGCAAATATCACTGCAAGTAGCTTTGGGGAAAAGAAAACACATCATGGGATAAGTTGGTACAGCTGTAGAGAGAATGCATTGTTTCCAACCCTCAATTTTCTTCAACACCCTTTCCCTGATGTAAGCCAAATTGGTATTTGTATATAGCATTTGTGTTAATCTGTGTATGAATTGACTTGTCCCAGATAAGGCTTTCGAAAATGTGCAAGAGTTGCAATAACTTTTGATCATTGACCGTTGATTGATTAAAATGGGGAAATGTGATCGAGGAAAGAATTAATAAGCAGCGGCAGCAGCAGAGCATAGGACGCGAAGTCAGAGCATGAGGTTTTAAGCATAGCATATGCTATTCCGAATTCTGAACCTATTTCATTATTCAAACTTTGAACAGCTAAAATTAGTCCGTCCTGCCTGGACAAAACCAGGCATAATCCCTCTCATGGATAACTTACCAGAAGAAATACCGGTGATTAATGACTACCACAAAATCTCAACTAAAAATGTACTGAAAAAAGGGCAGAGGAAGTAGATCGTGCTTCCCTAATACATTTAAACTCCCAACACTTAGATACAAAACCAAAAGAGGTGAGGTTTTATGGGCAAATAAAAATTTAGAACTTCATCTTTGACAGTGAATTAAGTAAACTCAATTACTGCTCGGGCACTCACTTTTTCACTTCTTCGTAATCTGCCTCGGGAGCTTGGTCTCCACCCTCTGTCCCTGGTCCACCGGAAGAAGAGTCACCGCCTGAACCACGTGACATGTGCTCCCCAATCTTAGAAACAGCTTTGTTTGCAGCCTCAAGCTTGGCCTTAATTTCTTCAGCATTGTCCCCTCCAATTGCCGTCCTCAATTCTGCAACTGCGTCCTCAATTTCTTTGGCAACTTCACTTGGGATCTTGTCACGATACTCATTCAAGCTCTTCTCGATACTGTAGATGGTAGTATCGGCACTATTTCTGATGTCAATTAGAGCTTTCCTCTCTTGATCTTTCTGAGCATGTAGCTCGGCTTCCCTGACCATCTTCTCAATCTCATCTTCAGAAAGCCCTCCAGACGAGCGAATGGTAATCTGCTGTTCTTTGCTGGTGGCCTTGTCCTTGGCAGAAACAGTGACAATACCATTGGCATCAATATCGAAGGTGACTTCAATCTGAGGCATGCCCCTTGGTGCTGGTGGAATGCCCACGAGTTCAAACTCTCCCAACATCTTGTTGTCAGAAGCCATCTCACGCTCTCCTTGTAGCACCTTGATACCCACTTGAGTTTGGTTGTCAGCTGCGGTTGAAAATACCTGAAATGATACAAAACAAATCAGGAACACAAAATCGACGGCAAAAGGAAAGAAGGTGGAGTCCAATTAAAACCTAAGGAAAACAAAACCAAGGTCAAAGATCAAAACTGCAATCCAGCCAACCCCGACCCTCCAACTCATATTAACTCTAACAAGAAGAAATGAAAATAATACAATGCTTCCTTATAAATTCACCCTTCACACCAACGTATCAACTAATTGATGTAATCTGAAGTACGTTTGGCCGGCTTTAATGACTGACCTGACTCTTCTTTGTTGGAATTGTTGTGTTGCGGCTAATCAACCTGGTGAAGATTCCACCCAATGTTTCAATGCCCAGCGATAGAGGAGTGACATCAAGAAGAAGCAACTCCTTAACATCACCACGAAGGATACCACCTTGGATGGCAGCTCCCATAGCAACAGCCTCATCAGGATTCACTCCTTTGCTTGGGCTCTTGCCAAATATTTGTGTAACGACCTCTTGCACTTTGGGAACACGTGTCATCCCTCCAACAAGAAGGACCTCGTCGACATCCTTAATTGATGTATTAGCATCCTTCAGACAATTCTTACATGGAGCCTTTGTCCTCTCAATCAAGTGATTTACCAGACTTTCAAATTTGGATCTGGTCAATGTGATGTTCAGATGCTTAGCACCTGAAGCATCAGCTGTAATGAAGGGAAGGTTAATCTCAGTTTGTGATGTTGATGAAAGTTCAATCTTCGCCTTCTCAGCTGCCTCCCTAAGCCTCTGCAAGGCAAGCCTATCCTTTGCCAAATCAATCCCCTCAGTCCTCTTGAATTCACTCACCAAGAAGTCCAGCAATGCATTGTCAAAATCCTCTCCTCCCAGGAATGTGTCGCCATTTGTTGCTTTCACCTACATAAGAGAGAGTTGTTACTGATATTTTACAAAATGAAGGGGGAAAAAAAAGAATTAACTGGATGGCAAAGTATGCAAACCTCAAAAACGCCATTGGATATCTCCAGAATGGATACATCGAATGTTCCACCACCAAGATCAAACACAGCTATTAGCCCTTCCTTGTTGTTCATACCATAGGAAAGTGCAGCAGCAGTAGGCTCATTTATGATTCTCTGTACATCTAGACCAGCAATTCTGCCAGCATCCTTTGTTGCTTGCCTCTGCGCATCATTGAAAAGTCTCTTTCATCTTTGTTAGGACAAAGGCTCCAATTTGGCTTGGGGAGTACTGCTGACCATTGACTTCAACCCAAGCATCTCCATTTGGAGCTTTCACTATCTTGTATGGAACCATCTTCATTTCCTTTTGCGTCTGGGGATCATCAAAGCGCCTACCGATCAGACGCTTGGTTCCAAAAACTGTGTTTGTGGGATTTGTGACAGCTTGACGTTTTGCTGGAGTACCAACCAATAGTTCTCCTTTCTGGTTGAAAGCAACCACTGATGGTGTGGTTCGAGCTCCTTCAGAATTCTCAATGACTTTGGGGTTCTATAACAAATCCACAATTAATCAGACATAAATGGCTTGCACAAAAAGCTTAAACAAGAAATTAGGTCAGAACATCAGTAAGAACTTATAAATAACCTTACCTTTCCTTCCATCACAGCCACACATGAGTTGGTAGTACCCAAGTCAATGCCAATAACATCATTTCCAGCAGGTTTGGAACTATCAGAGAAGATTTCATTAAAAACAATCCAACAGAGAAAAAAATTTGAAATATTTACATAGTGAATTAGGCAAGTCCAAAATACCTGAAAGTTCTTGCCAAGCTTCCCCATTTTTGAACAAGATGCGATGAATTAGAAGGGCTATTCAACTGCAAAACCATAAAGTATATAATAAGCACTACGATGCATATGAACAATCATATACAACTTCAATTCATATATAACTGAGTTTCCTACTATAACCCATTACATCGCCCCTATATGTAAATAAAATTCCATCTTCATCAAGTCATCTGAACTAAGCAGTAATTTCTATAAAATAAAAGAAATAAAAAGATCTATAAAATGATCCTCAAGCTTTGTTGAAATTAGCAATAAAAACAACAGTACTCCACCGCCCTAAATGTCAGTCATCAGGCAAAGATGACAGTGAAAAAGAGCTTCAACCTAATTCAAGAGTAAGTAACTATCATTAACCCAATCAAAACAACAAAACTACACACCAGAAGCCTGAAAGATAATCACGCAAACCACACATATATTTTTTTTTAAAACCCTCAGCTCCGTTCCTCTGTTTGGCCTCTCAGAAAAGGGAGGAAAATATTAAACATTTCAAAAGAAGTCGTTCACTTATTCATTTCTAATTCCTCGGATCACAACCAACAAAACTTCATAAAATCAAAATTTATATAACAAAATGAAAAAAAGCTAAGTTATTTCACCCGAAAGACAGATCAGAATGAAAGAAGATCGAGGGTCGAGAGTACAAAGACGAAAAAGTTGCGAACTTGAAGAGAATCTGAGCAAGGGTAAGAGACGTACGGATCGGTAGGCACAGAGAGGGACCGATGCGATGTCACGACGTCGTAGGGAACGGAGTAACGCGGCGGTGGCCATGGCAGATGCTGTGATTAGAACAACACGCACAGAGACGAAGAACTCGAAAGGGGAAACACGGGGAGGGTTTTGAGCTCTAGGGTTTAGGGTTTTTGTTGGGAGGGCGTTCTTTTATGAGGCGGAAATTGAGCGAAGGATGCGTGTGGAAAGTTCTGGATCTATCTTTAAACGGTGTCGTATGGTGGGTTTGTCATTTGTGGTTTATAGTAGCGAGACGACGTCGCGTTATGTGTAGCTGGTTGTGCGGTGCTACGTGGCGAAAGGAGGTGGTCTGATCTGACTTTCCCTAATGTGCCTATTTTATTGGGATAGAAAGAAGCTTTCTTGGGCTGCACTCCGAAGTCACAACTAAATCCCGTGCTTAATTTAAATATTTTTATTTTTCAAGACAAAAATAAAATAAAATAATAATAATTTTTTTTTTAATACAATTTATTCCCTTATTATTATTTTTCTTTTATTTTTGGGCAAACCTAGCTTCACCAGGTTTGATCTTCGGAATGTTTAGCTTGTAAAACTCGTGAGCAGCTTGTTTATAAAAGAAGTTTGCTTGGATGAGCGATCTTTTGAACAATGAATTCGAAGCATTTCTTTCCACATGCAAAAGCTCAAAGCATTATGTTTGTTTTCTTCTATTTGAAGATTTTATATTGACTATGTATTGTTCTTAAAGTATCATGATTGTGTTTTTTAGTTCTGAAATTTATGTTACAAAAGTAAAATAAATAAGCTTATTATTATGAATTTTCTTGATCCAACTTGAGTTTGTATTGACATTTATTTAGCTCGTTTGAGCTCGGCTTGGAAAAGAAATAAGCTCATATAAACTTAAGCTGAATAGATTTTAAACGAGCCAAACTTGAGCACTATGCTATTCGACTTGGTTTGTTTACACTCCAAAGTGGTGAGTAAGAATAGAGAAATAAGTTAAAACTAAAGATAAGTAAGTATTTGGATCCAAAGGAGGTAGATGACATACTGAATAGCTTCAGCCCAAAGGAGTTGGGAGAACACCCCCACCCCAAAACCAAAGGGAGAGCTGGCATAGTCTCAAGAATATGGCGATTTTTGCGTTCAGTCACACCATTCTGTTCAGGAGTCTGTGGGTAAGTAGTTTCATAGAGAAAGCCTTTTTTAGTACATAAGTATGCGAGTGTGTGGTTAACAAATTCATCTCCATTATCCAAGCGAACAACTTTAATCGAACAAGAATATTGAGTTTGAATCATCTTGTAAAAATTCTTGAAAGAACCAACTTCACTTTTATGCTTCATGGTTTTTATCAACCATCCTTTAACAATGGAGTCCTCAATCCACCATGAATCAAAGATAGAAGCTTCCTCCTCCACTTAAGCCACATTCCTTATCAGATAACCTCTTTTTCCTTGGCCTGACACATGAAGTAACAACATCCTCGACCAAGTGTTATTGTTCTTCCCATTCAACCGTATAGTGAACGGGCAATGAAATTATCATTTCAAACTGTAACAAGTGGTTGCTGCATGTTAAGAGTTTCTAGGTCTTTGAAGCACTGGATTTGGCGGCTATGGTTGGGGTGTTTAGGGTATGAGTTATTATTTTATTTTTATTTTTTTGTTTGGTTGCTGTCAGCGGTAAATGTTGCCGATAGGCTAGGATTTTGTGTGTGTTTTGTTTTGAGAGACCGGTATTAGCCAACTCTGATACCAACTTAAAACTAAAACACATGATTGAATGATTGTGAATTATATTTCATATTTCTCCATAAGAAGGATATACAAGTATAAGTTTACTTTTCATATAAGGAAAAGTAATTAGCTAATTACAAGGAATCCTAACTATGTAACTACTCTATTTCCTTATCCAAAAAAAAAAAAAAAAAAAAAAAAACCTCTTTTTTTTTAAAAAAAAAGAGGTTTTTTTTTTTTTTTTAAAAAAAAAGAGGTTTTTTTTTTTTTTTTAAAAAAAAAGAGTTAAATACTTTTGTTTTTTTTTTTTTTTTTAAAAAAAAAGAGGTTTTTTTTTTTTTTTTAAAAAAAAAGAGTTAAATACTTTTGTTTTTTTTTTTTTGGATAAGGAAATAGAGTAGTTACATAGTTAGGATTCCTTGTAATTAGCTAATTACAAGGAATCCTAACTATGTAACTACTCTATTTCCTTATCCAAAAAAAAAAAAAAAAAAAAAAAAACCTACTCTATTTAGGTAACGTGAATCAGACTAGGAAATCAGGGCCCACGCCAACATATACAACATATTAGTCAACTCTCATTCCTAGATCTTTTAAACAATATTACTTGAGAAATCTCTCAAAAACCAATAAATAAATAGATGAATTACTAAAAAAGAAGAAGATGAATTCATCATTTTTAAGGAAAAGTACTAAGGGCTTAGTTTGACATTGTTGTGTTGTGAAAATAATCACTGTCAGATTTGCTATGAAAATAATCAGTTTCTAAGTGTTTGATAAATTTTTGTGTGAAAGTATTGTGTGTTGTGTATAATGACTAAAAAGGACATTATATTGAAATGACTTTTCTGTTCAAGTGTTTTTGGTAAAAGGAAATTTTCACTTGCTCTTAAATATATATTTTTTGTATTAAATATGTTTTCATCTCTCTGCGTCTTGCTATTTTCTTCTTGTTTTTTTTTTTAATTGTTTTGGTTCTACAACGTTTCGTATATCAACAACAACCATTTAGTGAACTAAATCAAAAGGCGGGAACTCATTAACAATTTAGAAAGAAAACGGAATTGAAGCTTTTAAAATTAATTTCGTGGTATAGGATTAGTCTGAGTTGTATGATAAATCCAAATCAATGAGAAGCTTCTCTAACCCTAATTGAGAAGACTAAAATTGACAAGAAAAATTAACCTAATATGTCTCTTACCTGATTCTTGTGCCTTCAAGAGAGTGTTTCAACAATCCAACAAGAAAAATTGAAGGAAAAGAATGAGAAGAGTAGCTCAGGTATGAGGAATATGGAAGAGAAGGCGTGAAGATGAATAATGGGAAGTGGAAGAATGAAGAGAAAGAGACGCGAGCGTGAAAACATATGGGGTTATTTTTGGAATTTTGAAATTTTCATTAAACTTTAGCGCCTCTCTAAACTTATTGCCGCATCATCAGAAAATGAAAGTAGCTTTATAACGGTTTTCCCTTATAACTTTCTCTCACAACAATTTTTAACAATAAGTGATTTTATCATGGTTTACCAAATGGGCTAGGCTTCCCAAATTTTTTTTAAAATCACTTATCACCCCAAATAATCAATGCAAAATGGGCACTTTGATCACTCTTTGGGCTCGTTTGGTACACCGTATTAGACTATGGATAGGAGTAACTAGTCTATGTCAGGTGTTTGGTGTCAACTTGTATTATTTAATTACTTGACTATTTTATACGGGTTGAGCTTTTAATACTTTCCTTATCTGACTAACTAATATAACTCACACACTCTGGTTTAGATAATACACGCTTAATTATACAACTAGAGAAAAAGAACACACACGTTCACGTAAAAATCCGACGACGCTATTTTCATATTCTTCTCCCTAGGGTTCTTCTTTGCTATCTTTTCCAAGGTTTTTCGCTTCACTCTTCTCCGGGTATCCATCTCTCTCTCTCTCTCTCTTCCCAATATGCTTCTTTTGTCTTCATCTTCTCTTTCTTTATATATTTCCTTTTTTATTAAATTTTTGTGGAAATTAGGTTATGAGTTCTTCCTTTTTGACTTTTTTTCTTGCTATATTAGAACAATACATGCAGCTGTGTATTCAACTCAATAATCAAATAATCATCATGTGGCTATGTATCCAACTCAATACATGCTGCTGAGTTTTTCTTGTGTTTTTTAATTTATGTATTTCATCTTATCCAGGTATCCAACTCAATAATCAAATTATCATCTCAAGTCGGCGATGAGAACAATACATGCGGCTATGTTTTTCTTGTTGTATATTTTTTTTCTTCTACTTTTGGTGCTTTGTTGGTTTGTTTTTTGGTTATTTCAGTGTTGCTACTGCTGGCTGTTGATTCTCTTCTTGACTGCTTTTGTTGGGCTTCAATATATTTTCTTTTTTTCTTAATTATATATATGCATATTATATTGTCTATATTGTCTATATTTCCACTTAAATTATCAAAGAATTTTTTGTGAAAAAATAGTCTGATCCGATGTTCTCCGAAACAGCACCAAACACAATATTACTTAGTAAGACTATTTATCTGGAACAACACCAAATGCCTTATAATATTATGGATAAACAATCAGTACTCTCCAAAATAAATTAATACTATCCGACAGATTTTAATCAGTATAGTCCGGCGTACTAAACGAGCCCTTTAATCAAATGGTTAAATAGAGGCGTGTACCGGTTTGTATCTTTGGGATGGATAAAAGGTTAAAACCCAGAAACCGAAATGTGAATGAATAAAATGAATTGAACATTTTCTTGCTTGTTTTTCTCTCTTCATTTCTTTTCCTTCTCCTGCGGCGTTTCTTTCCTTTCTCTATATTTGGGTTCTATCATTAAACCTCAATGAAATGAAAAAAAAAAAAAATTAAACAAAAATTTGGCTTTAGGGAAAAGAACAAAGAAACCAAAACCTTTCATAGAATTTCAGGAAAAGTGAAAAGAATCAAGAAACCCACGTTTTCCACTTGCAAAAGATATTTGATATACATTTCCCAATTCAATGATCAATGAAATATTGAGTTGAGTTTCACTCTTCTAGGTCAGAAGTTCTCAGGCAAGGCATAGTTTTTTTTTTTTTTTTTTAAACTCATTGAGCTCCATACATCTGAAATTTAGTTGAAAAATCAGCAAGCAATGACTTCATTGCTAGTTTAATCACAAATATTGAATCTCTCTATGGCATCCTTACTGAATTCTTCTTTCTATTTTTTTTTTCAGGTCGCAAAAGAGCGATTCATATTTGAAATGAAAAAAGGTATCAACAAATCCCCAACGCCCAAATCCTCACAACTGTTGAAAGGAGTCTATGGTTATGATCATGTAGCTGTTAACTTTTCAGTATACATTATTCAGCAACAGAAGGAGTGGAATAAGAAATAGTAACCACTACTGCAGCAGTATTTAACATATGATACAAGACTGTACAATTTACAAGCTGGCCTCCAAGGACAAAAAATGGAGGAAAGTATAAACCAATTAGAAACCAACATAAGATTACAGAAAAAGAATTAAGGTTGATGAGGACAAGATCTGGAATTATGAATATTCAAATGAACAAAAAATAATGCGAAGCCGGGGAACCAAGTAAGAAGAAATAAAAGGGCATACTGTGAATGTTCTGCTATCCTCAAATCCGAAGGTAGCCCCTTCTTTCTTGAACTCCAATTCCATGGGTTCTCCTGAGGAATGATTTCCGGTTGAGGGACCAGCTTCTCTTCATGGCTCTTGTCCTGTGCCAAGTAGATATTCGGGTATACAGAGAAGGAAAGCTGAAGCAGAGCAGAGCCAGAAGTAGCATAGCTACACAGAGTAACATGACATTACGGAAACCATTTTTCAACGTTGGGTCTTTTTGTCCCGTCCATGGAACTCCCCCCACATTCATGCCAAACACTGCAAGAAATACAGAAATGCTTGTTGTCAAAAGCTTCTTGCTCACAGTGGAAATGCATAAGAATGCCTCAGAAAATCCCACAACTGAAAAGTTATGCTGAAGAACAACTTTACCTCCAGTAATGATGGATAAAGGAAGGAATATTATAGAAAGGAATGAGAGATAATACAGTTTCCTGTTTATCTGCTCAGCTTGCCAGCTGTCTAGACCAGCCTGTATTGCCGTGACACGATTTGCTATAAAGCCTACATTGTCCTTTAGCCTCCTCAACCGTCCGATCAGCTCTTCAAGAGAGATAATATCTTCACTGGAAAACCAATGTTTTGAGGAACATTTTTCTTTGACCCGAGGAAAAACTTGCTCCCCATGAGCAATCACCTGAGCTCAGTAAAATTAAATGCCAAACCAAGAAAGATTATTCCACATGGTTTCGTTCATTGATGAGAACTTAAATCAAATAGAAGCTACAGTTCCTACCAAATCACATTCTTTTGAACAATCAAGAAACATTCATATGACACACCTCCAGAGACTAGAAGTCTTAGTGTTATTGGGGAACCCAACCACCAAAATGGCTGATGGAAAAGCTATCAAGTATTCTAAAGTCATGAAACTGCAATTAGGGTTGGCCTACTTTCGGTTTTGGGCTATTTTCATTGTACTTTAAAAGGGTATGTTGCTACTTATCATAAAGTAGATTGTGAAATCACCATAAAAAATATGCAGTAATGCTTTAATTGGAAGCAAGCTAGAATAACTCATAATCCTTCTTGCTTCCACACATCATAGAAAATGATGAGCTGACAAACTACCTGCAGGAGGCGCTGCAGATCTAGATGTATTTTAGGAAATCTTCTGTCATCTAGCATTTGTTTCTTCAAAGCAAAACCACCTGTTAGAAATCAGAACATCACTGTATATTAATCAGTCGAAATAAGTGCTAAATTTACATAGAAGACTCACCTAAAAATCCACTTTTCTTTCTATGTTATTTTAAGTATAATAGGTAGCATGTAGAGGATCAACTTGCAAAGAATGATCGTATATAAGTTAGAAAGGCTTTCAAGTGCAATCGTTGATGAATATATGCATATGGATATTCTGTCAGTTGCATATTATCAAAGCAATAGTACAATAATTAGGTGTACCAAACAACATAAACCAGAGCATGTTCATGTGTAAGATATCAGAAAATGTCAGATATCACCTTAAACATATTGATTTGGTTTGGATCAAATCATCAGCACAATATTGACAAAAGGTCCTAATATTGATCCCATATGCTTTCCTATAAGAAAGAAAGATGTAAACTATTCTTATGACTACACTGATGTCTGATCTTTTCATAGAAATGTTCTATTTGCTGAAAAAATTTGTTTAAATTACTTACCAACTATGGTTAGCTTTCCCATTATATACAGGAAAATGAAAGCAGATATTCTGAACAAGGTTTGTCTTCCTATAATATCTCTTATTAACTTATAATTAGAGGTGGACACCAATTGGATCCGTATACCAACTTAACCCAGGCTAATTGGCTTGAGAAAATGGAAACTGAAACTAGCTGAATACGGGTTTTTACCAAGCCAAGCAGGTTCAGACCCAAAGGACACAAACACAGCCCCACAGTCGAAACTCTCAGCGTGGTGTAGTGGCACCATCCAAACCTCCAAAAGACAAAGAACAAACAAATTTCTACCTCAAAATATCCTGGGGGTGAGGGAGGAAGGGGAGAGAGGCTTACAGAGGACGAGCCAAAGAAGAGAGAGGTTTTGTTACTTATCAAGTGGAAGTCTAACTACAAATGGGAGATAATACAATTACTAAAATCATTAGCAATTTGAAATGATATCTATGGAAAAGTATATCTTGAACAATGACAAGTCATTAGTTATACAAAAAGGACAATGAAGTACATCCCACCATTTACTGATGGTATCCCAAGTCAACAAAAACAATTACCACCTTAGAATTGCTTATAACAGAGAACGGAACTAACAGATTAGAACTGTGAGGTGTGAAGTACGAAACTTTTAAGTTCTATAACATTTTAAATGCACTGGATGAGAAATAAAAATTGACTAGAGAGATTTGTCAGAAAAGCAATAATATCGGTGATAAACAATGTATAGGCAGAAGAATATGTTAAAATGAAATCTTTTGGGAGGCAGCTTAATGTAGTAATTGGAACTCACCTTTATCCAGCTGAAGCTCAACGGAATCCAATTCTATCTCAAGTTTAGTCACAACATCTTGGAGGTGATCAACATGCGTGTCAACAATATGAACTACAAGATTTGACACAGATTTTGGCACTGGATTATCAGCTTCCTCAGAGTGATTCATTGTCAATAAGAACTCAAGAACATGCTCCCCTATAACAATCCCACTCCTTTCCTTGTGCTCACCTCTATGATAAGAGGGACTCTCCACACTAGGAATCTCTGAGAGAAGAGATTGACCTACTGGTGAGAAACCCAATCTGGGGACACGGCCCAAACTCACGGTGATTACTGCATTCTCAGTAATTCTTGCGGCAATTCTAAATGTAAAGTCACTGGATGGAGGTCCAGGAGAGTTGACTCTGAAAACAAGAGCCCCATCAACATGGCCACAAAATGGTCCATTGCTGACAAGAGAGAGAATGTCTTGGAGTTTCAAAGGCGGGCAAAGAACACCAATGAGGTATTGTGCAGATTGAGAAAGTTTCTGATTTCCTTTTGGAAGTTCCACATGGTACCAACAAAACTCATTTCCCCTACCTTCTGTAAGATCCCATTCCTTATTGTAAAACTTTCCAAAACCATCAAAGATATAGGCTTTCTTTCTCACCATGCCCCCAAACTGGTTCCGGTAGAGATGGGGCTCTCTGAGAGGAGCTTCTGCCGAGGCCTCTCTGTCCATTTCCTCTGCCTCTCTGTTGTTGACCGGCATTTCATCAGCTAGATCCATAAATGTACACTATTCTTATCTAATCGATCTAATGCTAAACCAATTCTGAAATATATCAAAGTTAATTCTATCTAGAAAATCCTAAATCAACCTCCCCACCAATCATATGAAAATTCTAATCATTTACAGGTCCAACACAAATAAATTGCAGGCCTTCCAACTTGAAAGGTGTATATGATCAAATCCCTTTTGGTCCAACTACAAAACAAATGCCTAAGATGGTGAAGTTAATCCAACTAGATTGCCCCAATACAATACAGGAAAAAATCTTAGATCCTATTATATAAACAGCCAAGATTCCAAATTCACCATTCAGCAATCCCTGCAAGTTACATCAGAAACTATATTCATATTCCATTCATTCTCAAATTTGTAAACTGGCCGAAACACATCAACATACAGAATATAAAGAAATAACCCAGATAATGGATGACCTTTTACCTCATTGAAAAGCTAGAAATCCAGCACCAAACGGCCTAAACACGAATACCCAAGTGAAAACCAGCACAACCCATCAAGCATCATCGCCAGAAAGAGACCGAATTACCAATAACCCAGAAAGTCTTAGAGCAGCCACGCGCTATTGAACAATTCAAATGAAAGATTTTTCATATTATTAGCTTCCATTATGAAACATCTTTTTCGGTCAATACATTGCGGAATATTTCGGAAAATAAAATGTCGGAGAAAACAAGAAGGAACCTCACGTTCTGCATATAACCAACAATTTCTGGGAAACTTCCGAGTCCAACTTGAAACCACCTCTAAATATTGTATTGTTTAATACAAATTTTAATTTGTAGGTATCCCCATTTTAATAGAATTGTCAAGCTCCCTTGTTTAATAAGCATGAATTATTCCCACTATAGATCTCATTGTTTTCAGTCACATTTCAGTTATATATATAAAGTATTATGATCTCATAGTATTATATTTATTTTTGTTCAGATTAAGAAAACAGTGATTGTTTCTATTTGTATGATTGTAGAGACAAACGAGGAAAGATGGATTTTGTTAGATTTTGTGAGGTGAAAGAGTGAAAATAGGGATTTACCGTGTAGAGATAATACCAATGACCAGCGTTTGTTTTTTAGGCATAGTTTGGGATTGCTGTTACTTTTAAAAAAGTTTCTTCTGCTATTCTTTAAAAATAATTAGCTGTAAAGTAAAGCAACTCCATGTTTGGTAAACACTATTTTTAAAGTGCTGTTAGTACAAAAAGCAGTGTTAAAACCGTTTGGTAAATTTTAATATAAAATTGTTGTAACTGTGAATAATGACTAAAATAGACATGATGTTAAAAGTGTTATGCACTAATCATGTGGTGGTAGTGGTAGTGATAGTGATGGAGTGGAGTTGATGGTGGAGATGAAGGCGAAGTTGATGGTTGTGGTGGTGGGGACGGCGGTGGTGGTGAATGAGGAGGAGGTGATGTTGGAGGTGGTGGTGGCGGAGGATGAGGAGGAGTAGGATGTGGTGGTGGTGGTGGCGGTGGTTGTGGAGGTAGTAAAAGTGGTGGAGTTGAATGTAAAAGTGGAGGTGGTGTCATTTTTTTAAAATAAATGATAATATTTTGAGAATTAAAAAAATTTGATTAAATGTTCATCTCTGCTTCTTTTGAAAGCAGCTTTGAAAAGCAACCCAAAGTCAGCTTTTAAAAGCTGCTGTCAAAAGGCCACTGCTTTTAAAATAATCGAGATATTTTAATTTTACCAAATACCTTAAACTGCTTAACTTTAAATTAAACAGGTTTTTGGCCAAAAAAAACAATCCCAAATGGGGCCTTAATGTTCCCAAAAATATTAGGAATCTCCACGCATGTTATGCATGCGTTTAAAAAGGAAGTTATTATATACTAGAACTCTCCACACATGTTATGGATGTGTTTAAGAATTTGTTGCATACTAAAAATCTCTACACATGTTATGGATGTGTTTAAAAGGAAGTAACTGTATGTGATATTAAGTGAAACCCACCATTGGATAAAAATAGGAGTTATTAACCGACCAAGCAATCCAAACAAGAAAGTACTGGGAATTCGATAATTTTCTTCTCTTCTAAAAAATCTTTATCCGTCTTCAAAGAGTTTTGTAAGTTTAGTACTTTCTTCCCCACTCTTCTTTTGTCAGTTTTTTGGGGTTTTTTTTGGGGGGGGGGTTGGGTTGGTGGTGGAAAGCAAACCTCAAGTTTCATCCTCTGCTTTGATTTTTTTGGTCTCATATCTAGAATGTTTTTTGTGTATAATATTGAGAATATCTAAGTGCTACATGCTTTTTGTGTGTGTGTGGGGTACAGAATAGGTGCTTTGATTTATTTTTGTTGTAACAGTTTTGAAACTTTGTTTTTGGGTATGATATATGGGTCCTTTTGTTTTTGGTCTCATATCTTTTAGGCTTACGCAGATTCAGGATTCTTATGACATGGGGTCATTGTGTAAAAGTTCATAATTTTTTTTAAGAATAAAATAACATTGAAAAATTAAATGATAGCACTTTTATTCCTAATCAACTAATCAAAACACAAAACCTTGATCAATTGAGAAAACAAAAACCTAATTAATTAATGGAAGTATATGAAGCACGGATACAAATACTAATATGACGATACAACATGACATGGGGACACAATAAATCTTTAAAAACTAGAATACAATACGTCTTGGATACGGCAATAAAAAATGATATATAATTTTTAAATATATTTAAATAATATAATTTTATTATTTAATAATACATATTAAAAACAAATATTGCATAACATGAGTATAGCATTTTTGGGCTTTTTTTCCCTGGTTCTTTAGGATATGTATAGCTTTTTCAGTTCTTGGGTTGATGCCCAAAACCATTCGTACCAAAAATATAAATACATTTATGTTTTGTTTTATTATAAAACCTGCTTGAATTACAAATGTGCCCTTAAAATTCAAAAGGGTTTTAGCCAACATGGTCGTCCACTTGATATGTTAAAAAAATTATTAAATTTGTCTTACCCTCTTCAAATTCAATTTGCCTTACCTGCAACCCTTTACATTTTTTTCCTATAAATAATACCCAACTTTTTTCAACCATAACCCATGACTAAGATCTAACCCATCAAGTTACCTTATTATGCTCAATATCTAATTTATTATAATTTTTAGGTTCCCAAAATACCATTTACAATTCAATGAATGGGGTAGTGATTTAATTTTTGGTTCCCCAATTTATTGTGGTAGTTCCTTCTATAATTTTTATCTACAATTAATTATCCCTTTTGATTTTGGTTGTAGTTTGGAGATTGGTGTTTTGATCATATTTAAATTTTTGGAAAAGGGCCAATTTTTCCATAAACATGGGGTTTTTTTTTCTACTGTTCAAGAAATTTTAGGTATGTTTTTTTGTTTTTGATTTTTTTTAAAAAATGAATCTGTATCTATTGTTGCCTTGTTTGATAGTGTACATGTTCTGATCACATATCAACTATGTGTGTGTAACATGTTGGATGAAATTCCCAAGTGGTTTTGTTTGTGTATCATTTGTTTTGTTTGATAGGTACATTAGTTTGCTCCTTTTTATTTATTTATTTTCATTTTTGGTATTCAGTCATCATTTTGTTCTTTTTTTGCACTTCAAAGTGGGTATATGCTTATGCAGAGTAGTAAAGAAATATATTCTTGATGGGCAAACATGTTTGTCAGTTTGGTAGGTAAACTAGTTTACCCCCTATGCCTATCGTCAATTTGTACTTGTGCATCCTAATCACACTGGTGTTTTTTTTTTTCTTTTGGTATTATTTGCTTCTATTTATTGTTTTGCTATACATGATTGTTTTTTAAAAAAAAAAAATTTAGATTGACACTCTTGTATACTGATCACAGTTGAGTCCATGTTTATAAGGAAAACGAGTTTGTTAATTTGGTAGATACATTAGTGTAATTTACATTGACTCATAAGCAAGAATAATGTGCATTGGTAGGTGCATTAGGTTTTTGATTTAAGGTCTTTAGTTAAAACCCATGTGCTCGATGACAGGACTTGACCCGAATTTTCCTTGGAATCCGTGTCAAATCCTACTTTCCTTCCGACACCCATAGGATGTCAAGCCCATTTACTAATTTAAACTCTTTTTTTTCCCACCTTAAAAGCATAAAAAGGTCAAATCTTCTACCAAAATTTCGGCAGAATCTCCTTTAATATTAGATTAATCTATAATAACAAACAAAAAGAGTTCTCTTGGACGAGGTTAAGTTTTCAATGCAACACACTATGATCATCTACCAATTCAGGCAAAAGGATCGGAATAGTAACCATTTTGAGAAATGCCAATCGGTGAAAGCTACTTTACTTGAAATAAGCATAAGAAACAAAATATATTGAAGTAGTTTTGCTTTTATTTTTTTTAATTTTTTTTTTGTCGATCAGTTAAAAAAAAAACTGTGGTTGCAATATTGCATAATATGTCAATATCTGCGTTCAATTGCCCCCTTTTCAATTATGGAAAAATCTATAATTAAAAAAAACAAAACAAAACAAAAAATCTTTCATTTTCATGGAATTTAATATTAGTTGTCAAGGAAAGTTGATTGAAGTCAATTTCAAAAACTCCTTTACAAGATTCTCCTTACATATAATATAATTATAAGAGATTAATTCTGCACGCCCTACAAATTGATGATAAGGATGCCAATCACCCACATATGTTTTTCCTGTAATAAATCAATAAAACTAACACCAAGTTCTAGAGGGCAACAAAATTAACATGCTTAAAAAGGCACATTAAAATAGATACACCAACAATTACCCACATCACTACAGTTAAATATATCTCAAATAAGTCAATGGGATCTAACTCAATTAAAAATGGCATTGACTTGCATACCAATGGTCTCATGTTCAAACCCTCATGACATATTGTTAGTCTGTGTGTGAGAAACCCACCTTCCCTTTGTAACACACCCACAATAACCAAAACCCTAAAACAACACATGAACCTAAATGAACACTACTGTCACCACTTGAAGAAGCACCACCGTCAACCCCACCACCACATCTAGCATTTAAGCCAATGCAAAACCACTGACTGATATGGGAAAAACCATGTTTCCAATGATCTAACAACACATGACAGTGAAAACCTATGTCAATCGCACAAACATGGCAAAAACCAATCAGGTAGATTGCAACAAACTCCTTCAAATGCGAGGTACAATTAAATTTAGCCAAGATAAGAAGTTGTAGAGAGGGGGTTTAAGAGAATGATTTAATTGAGGAATTAACCCAAAAGAGGTGATGGAGAACTTCAAATTGAGCATAACTTAGAAGAAATCATAACAAGGAACTTCTTATTCAAAACGCCCTAGTGGACTTATTCACTAACTCAAAAGCAAGATAGACGTTGACGCTACTTCCTACTCCTCTCTATTGAGTTTGTTTTTTTTCTTTGGGACTATCCAAAGCCTCATCTGCATTACACACATACGTATACACATGCATTCTACAATGTTGTTTCATTTGAGGACTTAAAGTTACATATCAGTCGTTATGTAAATCAAATATGAAGGAACAAGATGCATATCAAATCTAGCAGCTAACGTGTGCAGTACCTCAATTTTTGGCATGTCAAATCTGTGATTAGACTGGATTTAATCTTACATCCTTGAGTATCTTTTAAACGCGACCAAACCTTGATTGTGATTAAAGTCACTTAGACCCTATAAGCCTATGATTTGATAGAGAGAGAGGGTGAGAGGGGAAGCGGGGACAGTTTAGCTGTAAATTTATATGAGAATCCCAATTCCAAATATAAATTGAGTAAACAAATCAAGTGTCATTGTTTTCTTAAGATGTTTTTGTCGGGAATATATTCTTTACAAGTTCTTA